TCACCTCTGTTTTACTCTGAGAATGAGAACTAAATCGGAAAACCTGCAGAGCAAAAGTCTGGATGAATCAGGCCTCGATCGGCCAATCAGACGCTTGGGATCATGCGATTGGCCGGATCTACGAGACGCAGCAGCAGCCGTGACCCTTCGGATCCTCGTCTTCGATTGGCTGCTTGAATCTCAGGAGGGGCGGGTCTCCACTGGCCGGCGTGAAGTAAACCGCGCTGCCATTGGACGAGACCTGTGGCATGCGCGGGTCCTCGGGATTGGTGGATCCGTTGCCCATGTGACCGTTGAGGACGGGGTGTGGGAGGAGCTTAGCGGCTGAGCGCTGCTTTTTGAGTTCGGACAGCGTTTGCGCGCGCTCTTTAGGCTTGGACTCCTCAGTGGAGGTCGTGGGGTCGTGGGGGTCAGGGGTCACGGGGTCGCCGTTAGAAGCGGGCGGCGCTGGAGCGGGAACGCAACCGTTCTGTCGTCCGCCGTCCTTCAGGATCCCCGGCGCGCGCGAGCCGTCATCAGCCTGCGTTACACACACACACACACACACACACACACACACACACACACACTAGTCAGGTCGCCTTCATTTATACAGCGCTTTCACAGTATAGAGTTTCACAGCAGCTTTACAGTGATAACAGGAGATTACAGTAACAGTGTTTAGGCTTTACAGCAGCTCTAGAATAAAGTTATTGTCCAGATAAAGTTAGTGTTGATTGATTCACTTCCGCTGTAAAGATCATCAGTGATTAACTTAGCTAACTTAACTTCGCTAACACGACACCGCTCTACAGAACACAGAAACTATTAATGTGTTCCGGCCGTTCATTCACACACAACAATGTTGGAGCTCGAGAACACACACTCTGAGCTCGAGAACACACACTCTGAGCTCGAGAACACACACTCTGAGCTCGAGAACACACACTCTGAGCTCGAGAACACACACTCTGAGCTCGAGAACACACACTCTGAGCTCGAGAACACACACTCTGAGCTCGAGAACTCACACTCTGAGCTCGAGAACACACACTCTGAGCTCGAGAACACACACTCTGAGCTCGAGAACACACACTCTGAGCTCGAGAACACACACTCTGAGCTCGAGAACACACACTCTGAGCTCGAGAACACACACTCTGAGCTCGAGAACACACACTGAGCTCGAGAACACACACTCTGAGCTCGAGAACACACTCTGAGCTCGAGAACACACTCTGAGCTCACTCTGAGCTCGAGAACACACACTCTGAGCTTGAGAACACACACTCTGAGCTCGAGAGAACACACACTCTGAGCTTGAGAACACACACTCTGAGCTCGAGAACACACACTCTGAGCTCGAGAACACACACTCTGAGCTCGAGAACACACACTCTGAGCTCGAGAACACACACTCTGAGCTCGAGAACACACACTCTGAGCTCGAGAACACACACTCTGAGCTCGAGAACACACACTCTGAGCTCGAGAACACACACTCTGAGCTCGAGAACACACACTCTGAGCTCGAGAACACACACTCTGAGCTCGAGAACACACACTCTGAGCTCGAGAACACACACTCTGAGCTCGAGAACACACACTCTGAGCTCGAGAACACACACTCTGAGCTCGAGAACACACACTCTGAGCTCGAGAACACACACTCTGAGCTCGAGAACACACACTCTGAGCTCGAGAACACACACTCTGAGCTCGAGAACACACACTCTGAGCTCGAGAACACACACTCTGAGCTCGAGAACACACACTCTGAGCTCGAGAACACACACTCTGAGCTCGAGAACACACACTCTGAGCTCGAGAACACACACTCTGAGCTCGAGAACACACACTCTGAGCTCGAGAACACACTCTGAGCTCGAGAACACACTCTGAGCTCGAGAACACACACTCTGAGCTTGAGAACACACACTCTGAGCTCGAGAGAACACACACTCTGAGCTCGAGAACACACAGTCTGAGCTTGAGAACACACACTGAGCTCGAGAACACACACTCTGAGCTTGAGAACACACACTCTGAGCTCACTCTGAGCTCGAGAACACACACTCTGAGCTCACTCTGAGCTCGAGAACACACACTCTGAGCTTGAGAACACACACTCTGAGCTCGAGAACACACACTCTGAGCTCGAGAGAACACACACTCTGAGCTCGAGAACACACACTCTGAGCTCGAGAGAACACACACTCTGAGCTCGAGAACACACACTCTGAGCTTGAGAACACACACTCTGAGCTCGAGAACACACACTCTGAGCTCGAGAACACACACTCTGAGCTCGAGAACACACACTCTGAGCTCGAGAACACACACTCTGAGCTCGAGAACACACTCTGAGCTCGAGAACACACACTCTGAGCTCGAGAACACACACTCTGAGCTCGAGAACACACTCTGAGCTCGAGAACACACTCTGAGCTCGAGAACACACACTCTGAGCTCACTCTGAGCTCGAGAACACACACTCTGAGCTTGAGAACACACACTCTGAGCTCGAGAGAACACACACTCTGAGCTCGAGAACACACAGTCTGAGCTTGAGAACACACACTGAGCTCGAGAACACACACTCTGAGCTTGAGAACACACACTCTGAGCTCACTCTGAGCTCGAGAACACACACTCTGAGCTCGAGAACACACACTCTGAGCTCACTCTGAGCTCGAGAACACACACTCTGAGCTTGAGAACACACACTCTGAGCTCGAGAACACACACTCTGAGCTCGAGAGAACACACACTCTGAGCTCGAGAACACACACTCTGAGCTCGAGAGAACACACACTCTGAGCTCGAGAACACACACTCTGAGCTTGAGAACACACACTCTGAGCTCGAGAACACACACTCTGAGCTCGAGAACACACACTCTGAGCTCGAGAACACACACTCTGAGCTTGAGAACACACACTCTGAGCTCGAGAACACACACTCTGAGCTTGAGAACACACACTCTGAGCTCGAGAACACACACTCTGAGCTCGAGAACACACACTCTGAGCTCGAGAACACACACTCTGAGCTCGAGAACACACACTCTGAGCTCGAGAACACACACTGAGCTCGAGAACACACACTCTGAGCTCGAGAACACACTCTGAGCTCGAGAACACACACTCTGAGCTTGAGAACACACACTGAGCTCGAGAACACACACTCTGAGCTTGAGAACACACACTCTGAGCTCACTCTGAGCTCGAGAACACACACTCTGAGCTCGAGAACACACACTCTGAGCTCACTCTGAGCTCGAGAACACACACTCTGAGCTCGAGAACACACACTCTGAGCTTGAGAACACACACTCTGAGCTCGAGAACACACACTCTGAGCTTGAGAACACACACTCTGAGCTCGAGAGAACACACACTCTGAGCTCGAGAACACACACTCTGAGCTTGAGAACACACACTCTTAGCTCGAGAACACACACTCTGAGCTTGAGAACACACACTCTGAGCTCGAGAGAACACACACTCTGAGCTCGAGAACACACACTCTGAGCTTGAGAACACACACTCTGAGCTTGAGAGAACACACACTCTGAGCTCGAGAACACACACTCTGAGCTCGAGAACACACACTCTGAGCTCGAGAACACACTCTGAGCTCGAGAACACACACTCTGAGCTCGAGAACACACACTCTGAGCTCGAGAACACACACTCTGAGCTCGAGAACACACACTCTGAGCTCGAGAACACACACTCTGAGCTCGAGAACACACACTGAGCTCGAGAACACACACTCTGAGCTCGAGAACACACTCTGAGCTTGAGAACACACACTCTGAGCTCGAGAACACACACTCTGAGCTCGAGAACACACACTCTGAGCTCGAGAACACACACTCTGAGCTCGAGAACACACACTCTGAGCTCGAGAACACACACTCTGAAGGTCCAAGTTTGGAACATTTTTGAAAAACGTGATCATCTCCGTGTAAACTTCAAAAACGTGAATCTGTGAGAACGCTGATGGCGCACATGCGTATCACGTGTTTAGTCTATAGATATGTGCGTATGAATATATATATGTGCGCAGGCGCGTAGTCTTTCTTTACACATTGACCTCACCAAATTACTTGTCTGGCCTTAAAGGGATACTCCACTTTTTTTTGGAAATAGGCTCATTTTACAACTCCACCAGAGTTAAACTGTTGAGTTTTACAGTTTTTGAATCCATTCAGCCGATCTCCGGTTCTGGCGGTACCACTTTTAGCATAGCTTAGCATACATCATTGAAGTGGACAAGGCCATTAGCATTTCTCATGATATGACGCAGCGCCTGAAAATAGGCTACCTTCCGTCAACACAACGGAACTGCCGCCAGAACCGGAGATCGGCTGAATGGATTCAAAAACGGTAAAACTCAACAGTTTAACTCTGGTGGAGTTGTAAAATGAGCCTATTTCCAAAAAAATTGGAGTATCCCTTTAAAAATTCATAATACAGAATTAATTTTTTATAGCTTCCACGTATCACTACTAGTGATGCGCGGGTCGGCTTTTTTTCCAACCCGCGGGTCCCGCTTTTATGAAATTATTTGGTCTGCTCCGCACCACTGTATCTATTTTTACAGCCCGCCCCGCGCATCACTAATCATTACATCCATCATCAAAATTATAATAAATAAAGGCTTGAAATATCTCAATTTGCATGTAATGAGTCTATATAATATATTAGTTTCACCTTTTAAGTTGAATTACTGAAATAAATGAACTTTTGCACCATATTATAATTTTTCCAGTTTCACATATATATACACTTACCTAAAGGATTATTAGGAACACCATACTAATACTGTGTTTGACCCCCTTTCGCCTTCAGAACTGCCTTAATTCTACGTGGCATTGATTCAACAAGGTGCTGAAAGCATTCTTTAGAAATGTTGGCCCATATTGGTAGGATAGCATCTTGCAGTTGATGGAGATTTGTGGGATGCACATCCAGGGCACGAAGCTCCCGTTCCACCACATCCCAAAGATGCTCTATTGGGTTGAGATCTGGTGACTGTGGGGGCCATTTTAGTACAGTGAACTCATTGTCATGTTCAAGAAACCAATTTGAAATGATTCGAGCTTTGTGACATGGTGCATTATCCTGCTGGAAGTAGCCATCAGAGGATGGGTACATGGTGGCCATAAAGGGATGGACATGGTCAGAAACAATGCTCAGGTAGGCCGTGGCATTTAAACGATGCCCAATTGGCACTAAGGGGCCTAAAGTGTGCCAAGAAAACATCCCCCACACCATTACACCACCACCACCAGCCTGCACAGTGGTGTAACAAGGCATGATGGATCCATGTTCTCATTCTGTTTACGCCAAATTCTGACTCTAACATCTGAATGTCTCAACAGAAATCGAGACTCATCAGACCAGGCAACATTTTTCCAGTCTTCAACTGTCCAATTTTGGTGAGCTCTTGCAAATTGTAGCCTCTTTTTCCTATTTGTAGTGGAGATGAGTGGTACCCGGTGGAGTCTTCTGCTGTTGTAGCCCATCCGCCTCAAGGTTGTGCGTGTTGTGGCTTCACAAATGCTTTGCTGCATACCTCGGTTGTAACGAGTGGTTATTTCAGTCAAAGTTGCTCTTCTATCAGCTTGAATCAGTCGGCCCATTCTCCTCTGACCTCTAGCATCAACAAGGCATTTTCGCCCACAGGACTGCCGCATACTGGATGTTTTTCCCTTTTCACACCATTCTTTGTAAACCCTAGAAATGGTTGTGCGTGAAAATCCCAGTAACTGAGCAGATTGTGAAATACTCAGACCAGCCCGTCTGGCACCAACAACCATGCCACGCTCAAAACTGCTTAAATCAGCTTTCTTCCCCATTCTGACATTCAGTTTGGAGTTCAGGAGATTGTCTTGACCAGGACCACACCCCTAAATGCACTGAAGCAACTGCCATGTGATTGGTTGATTAGATAAATGCATTAATGAGAAATTGAACAGGTGTTCCTAATTATCCTTTAGGTGAGTGTATATATATATATTTTTTTTGTTTGTTTGTTTGTTTGTTTTTTGCTGATCTGAAAAATGATGCGATCCGAGGCTGTAAAGCCGTAACTGGTTGTGTTTGCTCACCGTTCGGCTGTTCTCCTGATCCGACTCTCGCTCGCGCTCCTCCTCTCGTCCTCCTCTCCACACGATGGCCTCGGTCTGATACTCCTTCCGGCAGAGATTGTGTCGGTCCGACAGACTCGCCCTCCGGACCACTTTCCTGCGAACACATTATATCCACGTGTGAGAGCTCACACTCAGAGCAGTGTTTATTGGCTTGTGTTCATAAGACACTTCATACTCAGTAATATTATGGATCTGACACGATCAGATGAAACATAACTTGATCTGAATCAGGCAGAATTTGTCTCGTATTAGATGACGTTTGCATCATTGGTTCTGCTTATTACTGTGAAGTGGGGCTGTCAAATAACAATTCGAATTTCTAATATTCATCAAATTAAAAAAAAACCTGCAAAAACGGTGCATTTGAATGTAAAGGTCCTTTCACACTGGACGCGATTTTGACGCACGAATAATTCGCGCGATAGTTTTATTTTTTGATCAGCTGTTTGTGTAATGAGTGCTTCCACACCGAACGCGAATGTGCTGCGGCGAAAAAACGACTTTCATTTTTTTCGCTTCGATGTCGATTTTTTTTTTACTTTTGCGGCGACAGAAAAGGCTTCAGCCAATCACATACAAGGAAACAAAGGCGAAGCTTGTTGACGCTTTGGCCGCTCTGACGTAGCAGCGTTATGTGCGAGAGAAGAGAAGAGTCACAACATGAAATGTAAACTAAAAACAAGCAATACATTAAAACTAGAAACCTTTTATAATGACAGCATTTTTATATTGCCTATTCCGCATCTCAGCGCACGCGTACCCTATCGTTTATGACATGACGGTGTTTCTTACCAGCAAAAGAACGAGGCATGGGATAAAATAGCTGGGATAGTTGGTGTCTCCGGCGAGTTGATGAAGTGCTTGCTGATGATTTATAATATTTTTGACTAGGAGCGAAATAATTGATTTGGAATATTTTCAACATTCATTGTTGTGTGTTTCATATTATTTTTGCATGCATGTATAGGCCACACACCAGAGCATGTGCGTAAATAAAGCAGAGCGGTGACGCTTAAATCGGCCTATAAGTTAAAAAACTCAAACATACGTTTCATATATACGTTTAAATAATATAATGCTATTTTTTTTTATTTCATCTATGTTGATGATCTATATGAAAAGGGAACCGCATGAGATGAGTAAGGATCATAAGATGCCCAATATATCGAAAACATTTGGAATGGGTCAGACATACTTTTGACCACTTATTAAGTTTTGTTTTGTAGAAAGCCTTTCTTTAAAGTGAATTTTGTTTGGTATAAATTGTATCTTAATTTTAATCAATGTTTCATCAACAAATTGCCTGGATTAACAGGAATAAGAAGCAAATATATTAGACATTAGGACACGGAGGCGCCGGCGCGTGAACTGGAGCGCGTCTCACACCGAAAACTGACAGAAAACACTAGTTTATTAATAAACAATTCAAATGTTTGATGCATAATCCTTACTTTGGCCGGTTCTTTGTGGCTAAGTTTTAGCTACTTTATAAGATTAGCATACTCCCCTTCAGACTCTCTGTTCTTTAAGATTGGGTGCACACAAAACCTTCTTTCTGTCTTTATAAAGAAAACGAAAAGCTCGTCTTCACTGGATGATGATGATGATGATGATGATGATGATGAAGTGTCTGTGTTTTCTCAGCTGTCGACGCGAAAGTTTTGGAATGTTGAAGCTCTGAACGTCGCAAATTCTCGTCGCGGCTGATGTGAATGGATTTGACGCGAACTATTCGCTTTTCCGCCCAGTGTGAAAGGGCCTTTAGGGCGTGTCGAGGCGCGATGATGACGTAACCGTGACAACGGTGTGTTTTTGTTAGCATATCCGGTATACAGTTCATTTGAAAAATGGCGGGAAAAGCTGATGAAAACCCTCTCGTGCAACGACACACTTGACCAAACCTGCACATCGGTCAGAGCTGAGTGTGTGTGTGTGTGTGTGTGAGACTGTGTGTTTGTGTGAGAGTGTGTGTGTGTGAGAGTGTGTGTGTGTGTGTGTGTGTGTGAGAGTGTGTGTGTGTGTGTGTGTGTGAGAGTGTGTGTGTGTGTGTGTGTGTGTGAGAGTGTGTGTGTGTGTGTGTGTGAGAGTGTGTGTGTGTGTGTGTGTATGAGAGTGTGTGTGTGAGAGAGTGTGTGTGTGAGTGTGTGTGTGAGAGTGTGTGTGTGTGTGTGTGAGAGTGTGTGTGTGTGTGTGTGTATGAGAGTGTGTGTGTGAGAGAGTGTGTGTGTGTGTGTGTGTGTGTGAGAGTGTGTGTGTGTGTGTGTGTGTATGAGAGTGTGTGTGTGAGAGAGTGTGTGTGTGTGTGTGTGTGTGTGAGAGTGTGTGTGTGAGAGTGTGTGTGTGTGAGAGTGTGTGTGTGAGTGTGTGTCCATCAGCTGAAACACTGTGAACAGAAAGCGCTCCGCACTCGCTCAGATCAAGAGCGTCTGGTGTGTGTGACGAACGAGATGTAGATGTAGAGAGTAGAAGTGTGTGTTTCTGAATGCCAGTGTGCTGGTGTGTGTTCATGTACTTCATTACGCTGTGTGTGTGTGTAAGTGTGTTTTCTCAGGTTACTGATGCACTTACACAGTTTTATGCACTATTGAAACCTAATTTTCCTTGCATGCACTTTAAGGACATTATATTTTATTTAAGAACAATTGTTTCAAAAGTGAATGTCATTTCATTTCAATAAAAGATGCAATGCTTGGTCGGTTTATATTGCGCTCGCCGGCGCCCTCTTGTGGACACAGGAGACCGTACCGTCCTTCTGTCCTGTAACATTAAGCATTGCCTTTAGAATTGGAATATACAGTCGTCAACATCTGAAGTGGATCAAAACCCTTCATCAAAGTTATACATGAATTTAGAAGAATACCCGTTCTTGTCTCAGGACAACCTTGATGAACTTTTTTGATCCACTTCAAATGTTGACTCGAATTTTGCTAATATTTAAGAAAGAAAGTGGAATTGATCTTTTCAGCCATCCTGACAGCGCTCGAGTAAAGCTGGATCTGGATCTGGTGTTGTGGTGGAGTGAGCTGCAGATCTGCGAGTGTCCAGCAGGGGGACACAGACACTGTTCTTTATTTGTATCATAATGTAAAGTGACCTTGAGTTTGTAGAACATAAACTTATCATTATTATTAGTATTAGCATTAGCATTACCCTCGGCTGCCAGCGCTGCTGGTTCGACGACACAGAGACGTCTTGTGCTTCAGCTGAGACTTCATGATGATGTCATGCTTGTGCTTCAACTCCAGCAAATGATTCCTGAACTCCTCATCCTCACACAGATCTGCACAGACACACACACACACACACACTTGACTGACATATTCATGAATTTATCCTGTTAGAAAAGCAGATATCTGAAATCGCTGGTGTTTCTGACGTCACAAACGACCTTGTAACCAATCAGATCAACGTGTGATCGTCAACCAGTGGATCTCTGAGCTGAGGGAGTGAGTGGAGGCGGGGCTCATTTGCATATTCATAGAACCGCGCATACTAAATGAGGCAAGGGTTTCGAGTTACATTCAAGATATTTTAACGCATGAAAAAAACATTTTCAAGGAAAAAACGCTTAAATATGTAATTTTGGTGATCAAAGATGAACTTTAAGAGATAAAGTGATCGACTACAGGACGACTTTTTATTAATAACCAGACAATTTTTAACGGACTTTCTATCAGTGTTACTAGAAGAACGTTTGTTTATATTTTTGAGAGAACCTTCCCAGAATGCTCTTGTTGTTGTTTTGCTAATATTCCCATTAAGTTTATGAAAATGTTATTTCTCCGATCATTCAAAACATCCAGTTTTTGAATGTTTTAATGATGTTTTGACCGTGCGAACGTTGAGGGAACATTCCATTCCTGAACGGTTTTGGTTACATTTGAATGTTCTCTGGAATTCTGAAACGAGAGGCAACATTAAAAATGTGAGACGAACATCTAAGACTCTCTTAAACAGACAGTGTCATTATTCTCACACCAGTGCTCGTTAGATGAGCTAATTAGTTGTATTAGTCTAATTCTTCTCCTTTAGCTTCCCTGTTTCCACCTCGGGATCCGGAGAAACTACGGATTGCGCAGCTCCAGTTCGATCGCGATGTTTTCAAGATTTCAGATGAGCAAAAGAACAGCATTTATTTGGAAAATAACATTATAAATGTCTTTACTGTCACTTTTGATCAATTTAATGCATCCTTGATGAATAAAAGTATTGATTTCTTTTATTTCTTTCCCCCAAAAAATGTAATAAATATTCTTACTGACCCCAAACTGTTGAATGGTAGTGTTTAATGTTACAAAAGCTTTCTATTTCAGATAAATGCTGTTCTTTTGAACTTTCTTTTCATCAAAGAATCCTGAAATAAAAGTATAAATAACTGTTTCCAACACTGATAATAATCATAAATGTTTCTCGAGCATCAGATCCTCATATCAGAGTGATTTCTGAAGGATCATGTGACACTGAAGACTGGAGTAATGATGCTGAAAATTCAGCTTTGATCACAGGAATAAATTACACTTTACTGTATATTCACATAGAAAACAGCGGATTTACATTGTAATAATATTACAGCTTTAACTGAGTTGAATTGGTGTCGTCTTGTAACCTAAAACGGTCGCCATGACTACCAGTGTTGTGTGTAACGCGTTACAGTAACGTAACTACTTTTTCGGGTAAAAAGTAGTGTAACGCGTTACTACTGAGAATTTGGTAACGAAACGTAGTTCCTTTTTCTATTTCGCACAACGTTACTTTTCCCATGGACAGATTTGACAGCAACACTGTCTCCTCAGCTGCGCGCTTGCAATAGTCACAAGCTCCACATGGTACGTGACAGAGGCTGGTAGCAGAGCAATCAATTCTGTGAATTACACTGCGCAAACCAAAAGTAATACTCCCACCGGATGAAGAAGGGTTGGCTCTCCACAGAACATAAAATATTAATTGTATTGAATTTTTCGTGTTCGCATTTATGAGGAAAGAAACAATATGGACGTAACAGTTCTTCGGACTTGACCGCTCTGAAAGCGGAACTAAAAGACTGCTTTAAATCTTTCACAGAGACCTCAAACAGGCATTTAAAACACCAAATATTAAGGATTGGCATATCAAGCAAAATAATATTCGATGATTGCTCGAAAATCGTACCTCTACCCCCACATGCTTATAAGACGGCGTTCGCTCAAATCCCGCTCCGATATTAAATGTCTCTGTATAGACCTGCGTGTTGTAGCCTAGTCATTAAAGAAAACGATTTAGTTTCATTTTTATGTTTAAATAAAATAATTTATTTTTTAATTTCATCAATGTTGATTATATGAAAAGTGAAAAGCATGAGTAAGAGCATAAGATGTGCAATCGGGAGACAAATGGAGTGGGCAGACATGATTTTGACCACTTCATTAAGTTTGTTTTTGTAGAAAGCCTTTCTTTAAAGTGAATTTCGTTTTGTATTAATTGTATCTTAATTTTAATCAATGTTTCATCAACCAATTGTCTTTAATAAATAAGCAGTAAATATAGCAGGCAATATAATCAGGACTTCTCAGGAGCTCCGTGCCGGCGCGTGGACTGAGCTCGTCTCATAAATGAACCGAAACTTAACGCAAGCTACTTGCCTCAAAGATCTGAGAAATATATAGAAAGCTTGAAATGTGTACTTTAAAACAAAACTATTCAAAACGAGAGAAAACAGACTCTCTGCTTATGTAATCCATATGAAATGTGCATTTCTCTCTGGCGCGTTCACTACTGTGAAGATCGCGAGTCAGCATCATCAACTTAATCTTTGCAGCCGACACTGACTGACAAAGAAAACACTTGTTTATTAATAAACAATTGAAATGTCTCCTTGCTATATTTGATATTCGATATTCATAATCATTTCTTTTGCCGGTTCTTTGTGGCATTTTTCATGAACGCGTCACCACCGCTCAATAGTTAATATTGTGCTTTGGTGTTCAGTTTATACAGGTTTTTCAATGTTATTTAAATAAATATATTTTTTTTTTCTATCTCAAAATCTCTCTCTTTTTTTAGTTTTTTTTTCTAGTTTTTCAATAAGTAGAGTTCATAGTATAACTTTATGTAGGCCTACACATTTTGGAACAGATATTGGGTTCTGCCCAAAGTCAAGCAACATAAAAGTAACGTAAAAGTAACGAGTAACATAAAAAGTTACTTTCCAAAGGGGGTAACTAAGTAAAGTAACGGATAACTTTTTTAAGAAGTAACGAGAAAACACTACTTTTTAAAAGTAACTGATGACTACTGACTGTAATAAAAATGGCCTTAGAGGACAATATTACTGTTATGGCGACATAAACTGTCATAACTGAGGCAGAAAACTAAAACATTCCCTCAGAACAACGAACCAGTAAAAGCTGAGAACGGAGGAAGACCAGGCACATTAATAATGATAAAAAATGTAATATTTGTCCAGTGTTCATATAGTTGATAGATCGGTAATGAACTATTTTTCTTAGTAGAAGCTTTAAAGTCATTATGAAATCAAAATTGACTTGTTTTTAATGGAATATTGCAGTATTTATTCTAAATGATGTATCTGTGCGCATCATTATTGATTGTGATATTGTTTCCCTACATTTGATCTTGTTCCAGAAGCGTTTCACTCTCGGATAAGCCGACTTTAAACTAATCTACAATTATTACTCAAATCAATATGTCTGTGTATTTATGGATCTGGTGTAATGAGACGCTTTCTATCATGAACATTTGTGTGGTTTATTGATTATGATGTGATATTGCATCAGAGTTGTACCTATGGGCGTCTCCTCCATGTACGTCTTGGCGTTCAGATTGGCACCATGAGAGACCAGCAGCTCGGCCACATGGACCTAATTATGGAAATTAATATTCATCTTTCATACGGAACATTCTAATGATGCCTAATGGCACCTATGACATATAACTACTGATTTCAGTTTATAGCTAGTTTATTTTTTAGACAAAAATTATAATTTCATAATCATATTTCAAAAATGTTAAATTCATAATCATATTTCAAAAATGATCAATTCATAATCATATTTCACAAATTATAAATTCATAATCATATTTCGAAAATGATTATTTCATAATCATATTTCAAAAATGATGAATTCATAAAATTATATTTCACAAATGAGTTTCATAATCATATTTCAAAAATGTTAAATTCATAATCATATTTCAAAAATGATACATTCATAATCATATTTCACAAATGATAAATTCATAATCATATTTCAAAAATGATAATTTCATAATCATATTTAAAAAATGTTACATTCATAATCATATTTCAAAAATGATGAATTCATAAAATTATATTTCACAAATGAGTTTCATAATCATATTTCAAAAGTGATAAATTCATAATCATATTTCAAAAATGATAATTTCATAATAATATTTAAAAAAGGACAATTTCATAATATTTAAAAAGATAATGTCATAATCATATTTAAAAAAGGATAATTTCATAATATTATTAAAAAAAATATAATTTCATAATCATATTTAAAAAATGTTAAATTCATAATCATATTTCAAAAATGATAAATTCATAATCATATTTCACAAATGATAAATTCATAATCATATTTCAAAAATGATGAATTCATAAAATTATATTTCACAAATGAGTTTCATAATCATATTTTAAAAATGACAATTTCATAATCATATTTCAAAAGTGATAAATTCATAATCATATTTCAAAAATGATAATTTCATAATAATATTTAAAAAAGGACAATTTCAGAATATTTTAAAAAGGATCATTTCATAATCATATCCTCCTGGGACCCAAGAATAGACTTTTGTCCACTGTAGTGGACATTATATTTTAGTGAATTTCTCTGACATCATACATGTCACATGACACAACCTGGGTGTCCTGTAAAGAGCACATTCAGGACTTTTCAGAGATACCAAATGTTTGGAGGTTTCACCATGAAAACAACTTCTCCTTGGTCTTTAAAAATGTCTGACATTAATTTAGTGATCAAATGTAGCATTCTTATGGAAATATGATAATATAGTGTAATTATAATATAAATTGGACTACTTTTCAAATTGTATTTCATAAAACAACATCTCAGGAAAATGTTAAGGGGTTTCAAATAAAACAAAAAACTTTCTGTTACAGAACAGGGCATTGATTTCAAACGTGTCCACTGTAGAGGACATCAGGACTAAAATCATGTTTATCAGGCATTCTGGGAGACACGACAAGTGAATATGGAAATAAATTATACATCAATATTCCTATGAAATGTTAGATATTATTATTAAAATGTTGCCAATTATTACTCCAATTATTACCCTTATTCTTTCATTAAATGTTGCTCCCAGAACACATTAATGTGCAAATTAGATACAGTGTATCGATACATTGCATTGAATGGGAATATTAACTTATGGCCATTTTACCCACATATTGCAAAAAGTAAAATGGCGTATCAATTTATTCCATTATTTCTTTCATAACATAGTTGAGAATAATCTTTATACAAATTTTGGTTGAAAAAATCCTGAAACCCCAAAATGTATTGGTGATTGAAAAAAAAAATCCCATTGTTTTTGCCTATACATATAATTTCATGTCATTTTATTTTTTAAACAACTGAGTCCTGGCGTCCACTACAGAGGACATAGCATAACGTATGAATAAAATATTATTTTATATATATGTTTTTTTCCCATTTGTTTATTGTGCTCTAAACAGTGTGATGACATGGAAAAAAACTAAATTCAAAAAACTTTTTTTTTCTGGGTCTCAGGAGGATATTTAAAAAAGGACAATTTCATAATATTTAAAAAGGATCATTTCATAATATTATTTTAAAAAATGATAATTTCATAATCATATTTTAAAAATGACAATTTCATAATCATATTTTAAAAATGATATTTTCATAATCATATTTCTAAAACAATAATTGCGGATCATATTCCTGGCCCCTGACCTGTCCCCAGCACGCGGCGGCGTGTATCGGCGTCCATCCGTCAGAATCCCTCACGTCTGTTCTCGCTCCTCCTTCTAACAGCATCTCTGTGACCTGAGCGTAACCGTTGGCAGCCGCGATGTGTAGCTGAACACACACACACACACACACACACACACACGTTACTTAGTTATCTAAATGGGGACTTTCCATAGACGTAATGGTTTTTATACTGTACAAACTGTATATTCTGTCCCCTTACACTAACCCTACCCCTCACTCGCTCTCTCACACACACACATAATTACACATACATCTTACTTTCTGTTTTATGTGTTTTGTATTGATGGTATCATCTAAAATATTTTAAAAGTAAGTTTAATCATTTGCAGGATCATCTTTAATATCTCTTGAACTTCAGTCTCTCATAACGAGATGTTTGAGTGTTTATGCAAACAGGAAGTGCTTCCGTCTCTCCTCAAATCACCAGATCAGCGGGTTTTGATGTTCATTCTAGTTTATCTCATGTGTTTTCTTACACTCAGCATCATCACACACACACACACACACACAGCGAGCGAAGGGATGTTTTATGTGCTGCTGATTCAATGTTCCTGTGTGTGTGAGAGAGAAAGTGTGTGTGTGTGAGTATGTGTGATTTTGTGTGTGCACGTGTGCAGCCTCTAGTGTGTGAGTGTGTGTGTGTGAGTGAGTATGTTCTAATGTTCTAATTTTTTACACTGTTTATTTAAATTTAAGTTATGTTATAATATTTTCTTCTATTATTTTGATGTTTTTATTATTATTCTGTGTATTCCAAGCTTTGCCAATATTGTATTATTTACAGTAATGCCAATAAAGCAAACTTTGAATTGAATGTATGTTTGTGTGTGTGCATATGTGTGTGTGTGTGTGTGTGTGTGTGTACCAGCGTGGCCCCCTGGGAGTCGTGATGGTTGACGTCAGCTCCGTCCTGAAGGAGGTTCTGAATATCTCCCAGCATCCTCTTCTCCACCGATGCTCTCGTCTCGTTGATCATCTCCTGTGTGATGCCTGTCATGGACACAACCATTGGACAACACAGCTGTCAATCAAACAGAGTGTGGGAGGGGCTGATCTGACTGTCAATCAAACAGAGTGTGGGAGGAGCTGATCTGACCGTCAATCTAACAGAGTGGGAGGAGCTGATCTGACTGTCAATCAAACAGAGTGGGAGGAGCTGATCTGACTGTCAATCAAACAGAGTGGGAGGGGCTGATCTGACTGTCAATCAAACAGAGTGGGAGAAGCTGATCTGACTGTCAATCAAACAGAGTGGGAGGAGCTGATCTGACTGTCAATCAAACATAGTGGGAGGAGCTTATCTGACTGGCAATCGAACAGAGTGGGAGGAGCTGATCTGACTGTCAATCAAACAGAGTGGGAGGAGCTGATCTGACTGGCAATCAAACAGAGTGGGAGGAGCTGATCTGACCGTCAATCAAACAGAGTGGGAGGAGCTGATCTGACCGTCAATCAAACAGAGTGGGAGGAGCTGATCTGACTGTCAATCAAACAGAGTGAGAGGAGCTGATCTGACTGTCAATCAAACAGAGTGGGAGGGGCTGATCTGACTGGCAATCAAACAGAGTGGAAGGAGCTGATCTGACTGTCAATCAAACAGAGTGGGAGGAGCTGATCTGACTGTCAATCAAACAGAGTGGGAGGAGCTGATCTGACTGTCAATCAAACAGAGTGGGAGGAGCTGATCTGACCGTCAATCAAACAGAGTGGGAGGAGCTGATCTGACCGTCAATCAAACAGAGTGGGAGGAGCTGATCTGACTGGCAATCAAACAGAGTGGGAGGAGCTGATCTGACTGTCAATCAACAGAGTGGGAGGAGCTGATCTGACTGTCAATCAAACAGAGTGAGAGGAGCTGATCTGACTGTCAATCAAACAGAGTGGGAGGGGCTGATCTGACTGTCAATCAAACAGAGTGGAAGGAGCTGATCTGACTGTCAATCAGAGTGGGAGGAGCTGATCTGACTGTCAATCAAACAGAGTGGGAGGAGCTGATCTGACTGTCAATCAAACAGAGTGGGAGGAGCTGATCTGACTGTCAATCAAACAGAGTGGGAGGAGCTGATCTGACCGTCAATCAAACAGAGTGGGAGGAGCTGATCTGACCGTCAATCAATCAGAGTGGGAGGAGCTGATCTGACTGTCAATCAAACAGAGTGGGAGGGGCTGATCTGACTGTCAATCAAACAGTGTGGGAGGAGCTGATCTGACTGTCAATCAAACAGAGTGGGAGGAGCTGATCTGACCGTCAATCAAACAGAGTGGGAGGGGCTGATCTGACTGTCAATCAAACAGAGTGGGAGGGGCTGATCTGACTGTCAATCAAACAGTGTGGGAGGAGCTGATCTGACTGTCAATCAAACAGAGTGGGAGGAGCTGATCTGACCGTCAATCAGAGTGGGAGGAGCTGATCTGACTGTCAATCAAACAGAGTGGGAGGGGCTGATCTGACTGTCAATCAAACAGAGTGTGGGAGGGGCTGATCTGACTGTCAATCTAACAGAGTGTGGGAGGAGCTGATCTGACTGTCAATCAAACAGAGTGGGAGGGGCTGATCTGACTGTCAATCAAACAGAGTGGGAGGGGCTGATCTGACTGTCAATCAAACAGTGTGGGAGGAGCTGATCTGACTGTCAATCAAACAGAGTGGGAGGGGCTGATCTGACTGTCAATCAAACAGTGTGGGAGGAGCTGATCTGACTGTCAATCAAACCGTGTGGGAGGAGCTGATCTGACTGTCAATCAAACAGTGTGGGAGGAGCTGATCTGACCGTCAATCAAACAGAGTGGGAGGAGCTGATCTGACCATCAATCAAACAGAGTGGGAGGGGCTGATCTGACTGTCAATCAAACAGAGTGTGGTGTGGGAGGAGCTGATCTGACTGTCAATCAAACAGAGTGGGAGGAGCTGATCTGACTGTCAATCAAACAGAGTGGGAGGGGCTGATCTGACTGTCAATCAAACAGTGTGGGAGGAGCTGATCTGACTGTCAATCAAACCGTGTGGGAGGAGCTGATCTGACTGTCAATCAAACAGTGTGGGAGGAGCTGATCTGACCGTCAATCAAACAGAGTGGGAGGAGCTGATCTGACCATCAATCAAACAGAGTGGGAGGGGCTGATCTGACTGTCAATCAAACAGAGTGTGGTGTGGGAGGAGCTGATCTGACTGTCAATCAAACAGTGTGGGAGGAGCTGATCTGACTGTCAATCAAACAGTGTGGGAGGAGCTGAACTCATTAAAGACTGTGATTGGTGGAGGCCTTGAGAATCATCAAATACTGGGAAATAACGAACTCAAACATCACAATAAAACTCGCAGAACATTCAAACAACATCAAGATGAATGAATCTACATCTTTCTGTAAATTACATTCGCTCAGTTCCTCAGAACTGGATTAGATGGACTGCGTTTGGATGATGAATTATAATGATGTTTTTTCCAAAAAGAAAAAATCGAATCTTTCCAAATCTCATCTCATCATTTAATGAGATCTACAACTGGAATAAATGTTGAACTATGAAACACACAGATCTCTGATTCTTACAGGGTTCATACACACACAGTCAAACGAAATTACAGGACTTTTCAAGCACTACTTTTTGGTTTTCAAGGAGAGATCTCACTTATCAGACAATATCTGTATTATCTTTCAAATTCTAAAATATATAAACAAAAATAAACTAATAAAACAAACCGGTACAAATAAAGTGCAGCGGATGCAGTGACTGTGGAACTTCAACCACTGAAAGGATACGATGACAAAGATATCGCTTTCCTTATTCAACTGATTTATTCTCATGAATATATGATTGAGCTGAAGAATGAGAGATGTATCATATACTTGGATATTAATGAGCAATATCACACTCATAGTCATGTGAAACTGCTCTATATCTATATCAGACGGGTTGATTTTGTGTGAAACGATTGTTTTATCGATAAAATTAAACACTACTCTCACATATATTGTCTTTCAATAATTCAAGCGCTTTTCAAGCACCTCTTCATAAATATGGCCGTTTCAAGGGCTTTCCAGGACTTACATTTCAAACGTCACAGTCCAGCCCTTTCAGCTCCCTGTACGAACCCTGTTCTCCACCCTCATGTAATATAACCCTGATGACGCAGTCCTGAAGCGTCCCGCTCTCTCCCTGTGAACGCCTCCTCCTTCTCCCTCTCTGCGTTCTCAAAATAATTCCGGTTCGCATGGATACGCGGAAGCGAAAAAAAATCTGTTTTATGAATTTAAGTAATTTGTTGAGGTCAATGTGTAAAGAAAGACACACGCTTGCGCACATATATATTCAAACGCGCATATCTATAGACCAAACACGTGATGCGCATGTGCGCCAGTGACGCGCGGGTCAATGTATAAACAGCCCGCACCCGACCGACGCTTTAACATTATCTGGACAATAACTTTACTCCAGATCTGCTGTAAAGCCTAAACACTGTTACTGTAATCTCCTGTTATCACTGTAAAGCTGCTGTGAGGCGTGTGTGTTGTGAAAGCGCTGTATAGATGAAGGAGACTGGACTTGATGACATCACGCTCACCTCGATTGGCCATGGCGGTCTCGATGATGTCGAGCGTGGGGTCGTCCTCACAGAGGTCATAGGGCATGTTCCCGTCAGAGTTCACCGCTAGGAGATCAGCGCCACTGCGGAGACACAGATCACTCCAGTGTGCGGGACGCTACTTTAAAGTAATGCGTTACAATATTGCGTTACTCCCACCCAAAAAAAGTAACTAATTGCATTACTTAGTTAAACACACACACACACACACACTCACTGCTGGATGAGGATCTTGACGAGGCCTGTGTGTCCACATGTCACA